AAGAGCGTTCCTGGCCTTGGTCTCAGTTGTCACCATCTCTCTAGTTTGATTTTTCTTCCTTTTGAAGCAGCAACAGGTCATCAAACAACACAGGTGTAGCTATAACTGCTGGTCTGGCAGAGCCAGGCAGGATTCTTTTCAAACTCTGCTTCGTGCTCAGGAATCCAGTCTCTTAGGCAGGTTCTGGGGGAAGTGATGTGAAAAATACAATCACAGAATCACAGGTCGGACGATGCATGGAGAATTTGTCTTCCTAGAGTTCAGGGAAGTCTACAGCTGAGGACTGAAGGGCTTACCATCCTCGTGTGCTCCGGCTGTTCCGTGGAGGCTGGAACACTGATTTAGGTGAGAGTTTTCGACAGGAGAACTCTATTCAGTAGTGAGGACAAACATCCAGACCCAGATCAAATTATAAAACATTTCTCGCACCCCAAAAGGGTAAAGCTACTTGAATTTAACCTTTTTCTTTTAGGTGAAAGTGGCACCTCCTCCCCTGACCCGCCCTCACGGAGGCGTCTCCGCCCACTCCCAAAAGGCAGCGTGGATCTTCGCCTTCTCTACTCACCAGGTTCCCTTCAAAGGGAAAGGCCCTGGCGCTCCGTCCCACTTCTTCTCTTCCGCATCCCTCGGGCCCCGCCCACCGCCAACTAATTTGGGCCCCATCTCCAGGCCCCGCCCACCTCCAGCCCCCTCCCGAACCCCATCGCCCTTTGGGTCACGCCTCCTTCCGGCTCCTCCCCAGAGTGGCCACCTTTGGGCCCCCTCCTCCCGGCTCAGCTTCCGGGCCCGCCTCCTTCTGTCCCGCTTCAGTCTTTCCTCCGTTTGGGGCTTCTCTTCAGCCCCGCCTCAAACACGCCCCGTTAAAGGGCCCCTCCTCCCCAAACCTCACTCGGGCCTCCCTCCACCCTTGACTCCTCCTCTGGGCAGGCCTCCCTTTAGCCCCGCCCACACCCCCTCCTTTCAAGCCCGGCTCTGCGAGGCGGCCAATGTCTTCCATACTTGTCTCGCGCGCCCCTCTTCACTGCATCATCACTCTCTCAGACCCACCCCTCCTTACGCCCGGTTCCAGTGTAAACCAGTCTCTCTTCCCGCCCTAGCCCCGCCTCCTCAGGGTCCCACTTCAGTCCTTCCTCCCTGTCAGGCCCCTCCCCGACCCCTCCTTCCTCTTCTCCCCGCCGTAGCTCTGGACCTTTCCAAAGCTAGGTTGAGGGGGTAGGAAGAGCCCCTGCGCCTCGGGGGCTGGGCTATGTCACAGCGGGGCTGCGTACTCCTCGCGCTTGAGTCGCCGGTCCCGTCTCTGGAGACAGAGGCGGGGGCAGGGGGTGGCGGGGCCAGGGCCGCAGTGGAGGGCGGGGCCGAGTTGAGGGAAGCCGCTCCGGACGCCCCCACCCCGGCACGCCTCAGTGGTGCCGGCCAAAGGAAGGACTGGCGACTGCGGGGCTCGCGCCGCTGTCAGTGCGGCGGGGTGCGCGAGCAGCTCGGCGCAGGTTGGGCAGAGCGGAGAGAAGCTGAGGGGGCGGTAGCGGCGGCGGCGGCGGCGGCGGCGGCGCCGACTCCTGCGCGTGTATTGAGCTCCTCACGCTGCGGCCGGGGCCGCCTTCTTCCTCCCTCCCTCGCTCCCTCCCTTCCGCCCCCGAGTGCGGCGGCACCGCCTCCTTCCGCGCCGCGCGGCTTCCTCCAGACCTCTCAGGGCGGGTGAGTGGGGGCCGCGGGCGTCTCCTTAAAGGTATGGGGAGGGGGTGCTCCTTGTTCCTTTTCGGTCACCCACCTCATCGCGCCGGTCACTGCCTATTTTTAGAAACTCTTTTTTTCGGCCGTTCGGGGAGTCCCGGGAGCCGGAGTAACTCTCGGCACCCTGCACCCTCACCTTCCCTCCCCCCGGGCCTGCCGCCCTGGGTCCCGGCAGCCCTGGCGTTCTCTGCCCGCCTCCTCCCCGCGGGTCGGACCTGGGCCGGGAGTTGGCGGGGTGGGCCGCGCCCGCTCGGAAGTTGGAGTCTTTTGTGTTCGCGCCCCGCCCCGCCCGGCGAGGGGAGGAGGGGGGAGCGGAGGCCGCGCTGGGGAGGCCTCGGGCGGGCTGGGTCCCGGCTCTGGCCTCGACCTCGGGCTTCTTCCGGCTCTCCCTCTCGGGCTGGGTCTGCGGGTTCCCGGAGGCGATCAAAACTGGTCCCGCCTCGCTCCCTACTGGCCTGAGCGCCTCCTCGGCCCCCCTTTCCCGGTCCTGGGCTTGTTGCACACCTTGGGCTCTTAGAGGAACAACAGCAGGCCCTCGAGCTGGGGCCGTGTTCTGCGCTTCACGCAGCCTTTTCGCCGCCGAGCCTCAGTTTGCCTTTCAGTGAACAGGGAGAAAGAATGTCGCCTCGCAGGGTGTTTGTGGATTCAGGGAGGAAACTAATGTGTGCGAGAAGTGTTTAATACCAACAGGTAACATTTAATGGACTTGACTCAGGAACTTCGCAAGCCTTATTTCATAGAATGCTCACGACGGCCTTCTGAGGTTATCCCCACTTACAAAAGCAGCAGGCAAGGCGCAGAGAGGTTAAGTAATGTGTTCCAAATCACAGGTAGGAGCCACAGAAGTGTGAAGCCGTGGTGCTGGTTTCTGTTATTTATTTCTTAGTGTGAACTTGTGTAATCTCTTAGTGCAGAACGGATTTTGAGTCACATCGTTAGTTGGGATACCTAACTAACTCCGTTCTCCCTGATTCCTTGCCCGTTAGAAGCTGATGGATGCAGAGGACTCCAGATCTCAAGCACAGCTGAAGTTCTCTGGGGTTTTGGCTCAGGGAAGGGTGTAAGTCGTTTAAAGCAGTGAGGTTCATCCGTTTTTTGTTTTTTGTGGCTTGTTCCTCCCACCAAACCTTGCTTGTTCTCTATAGGGTTTAGATTTATAGCTCCTGGTTGGGGGAGGGGGAGCAGAAAGTGGTTCAAGTCAATTGCTTCAACTCCCTGCCTACAAATAGAGATTTATTTCTCTTATTTTCAGATAAGGCCCAGAGGGGTAAAAGTGAACTAAAATTAACTTTGGCAAGTGTTCTAGTTTTCCAGTGTGTTTGATCCCTGGTGTCTAAAGATCAGGCAGGGGAGTTCGTAGGCCAGCTCTTGCCATGTCTCCTGATGTGTGCTTTAATTCTTTGGAGTCTGGAGGTCTGCTGTACTCTCCCCTTTCCAAGATTCTGGATTTAAAGGTAGTGGTTTGTAGGACCTGGAAGGTGTCTTATCTGGTCTAACTTTTTTTATCTGCCTTTTCCCTCTTTCCTGTTAACTGAATCTTGGAAAGGGGAAGTAAGTTGTCTAAATTCACAGACTGCTTTAGTGACAGAATCACAACTGGAATTCCAGTCTTCTGACTTCCAGTGCAGTAATATTTTTATTTCTACTGTACTCTGCCACCTTTTGAAAGGGCACTAAACTACTAATTCAGGTCTGAAGACCAAGAATCCCAAGTAACTTGAAATCACAAAGACGTTGTTTAGTCCCAGCATTAAAAGGAGGCCAGGTTTTGTGCACAGGAGTACCAGTTCTCATAAGTCACCACTGTTATTTTATAGTACTTTATGGTTTATAGTTTTCTTTTATAACTGTTACCTGATTTCATTTCTCATCCAGTTCTGTGAGGGAGCTCTCAGAGTTTGGTTTATATCTCCTTTTTACAACTCTAATTGAGAATTAAGACATAGCAAGGTTAGGGCACTTGCCTTACTTAGATCACCGGATTAACAAGTAGTGAGTACAGGGCATCTCTCATGGACAAAGGATTTGATTTGATGTGGCATCATGAACTCAGTCACTCACTGTGGCTCTCTGAGCCTCAGTTTCCTTATCTGTAAACTATCACAGGGTTGGGTGGGGACTATGAAAAATGGCTATGAAAGTGCGTTGTAGTAGTAGGCTAACATTTATTAAGTACTTTCCATGTACCAGTCACTGGATTAAGGACTTTCTATGGATTATCTCATTTAGTCCTCAGAGCTACTGTATGAATTAGGTATATTATTAAACTCCTTTTGCAGAAGAAGAAACAGGATTAGAGAGGTTACATGACTTGCTCAGGATCATGTAATTGATAACTGCAGACAATATAACTTTAAAGCTGGTATGCTTTTAATTTATTTTTTTGTAAAAATACATGTAAGATAAAATTTACTATTTTAACTATTTTTAAATGTACAGTTCTGTGGCGTTAAATATATTCACATTGTTGTGCAACCATCACTACCATCCGTGTCTAGAACTTTTCATCTTCCTCAGCTGAAACTCTGTATAAACACTTCCTCTCCTCTCCCTCCAGGCAACCATCATTCTATTTTCTGTCCTTGTGAATTTGACTACTCTAGGTACTTCATGTAAATGGAATCATACAATATTTGTCCTTTTGTGACTGGCAAAGCTGGTACTCTTAGTGCCTCCCTTAAGCCCTAGGTGCTCTGAAAATGCAAAATGATTATTCTCATCTGCAGTAAGGTGTGGCATGCAGCTCCAGAGCAAGAACCTAGGCCTGGCTGTACCACTCTGGTTAAGCCTTCCCCCGCCCCTTTGCCCCTTCTGTATCTTCCAAAGGGAACTCCTGGTCTTGAAATAGAACTCAGAGGACTCCCCACCCTTGCTTTGTTTGCATCTTCCTTTCTGGCTGTCCTGGGTTTGGGCATATGGGACTGTAGTGATCAACAATAGCAGTGCTGTGACAGCAGCTTGGATCAGAACTACTCAGGATGATTAAATGGATTATCTTTATGAAATGCTCCCTCTTTGTGCCCTCCTCTTTCCATTAAGGCACACAAGAGCGATTAGCTTTTGGGTTGCTAGAGGGTATTTATGGCTCCTCATTGCTCGCAGGTGGTTAAGATGGAATTAAATGCTGCATTTAGTCTTTCAAAATTCCCTTTGTTTTGACTACTTCTGTGTCTTTGTATGTTTTGGGTGGTGTGGTGGTGGGATGTGGTGTTTATGTTTGTGAAGTGTAGTTGGAATTTTGTCATGATGCCAGCAGGGGGTTGGGATGGGAGGTGTTCCAGAGATGGATAATAGGGCAACAAACACAGATTTGAGTATGTTGCACTTTCCTTAAAAATCTGATGGCCCAACATTGCCTGCATATTAAAGTCTAAACCCCTGAGTGTGATAATAAGGTCAGAGTGTATTGAAATGTTTATTGGATAGAATCTTGTAGTTGAGGGACTTAAAATCAGGTAGACCAGCCAGCCACCCAGCCAACATTTGAATAGGCTACCCGTTGAGATTCTGTTTCATTGGGCACCTCATTATTGGAAAGTTTTCCATTTACAGAACAGTTATTAAACATCTGCTCCGCACTGTACTAAGCTTGGAAATTTGGGTGTCTCAGGGGGAAGACAGGCAAGGAAACAGGCAGTGTGGGAAGTGTTGTGACAGGAGCAAGCACCATGAGAGCACGGAGGAATGGAACTAACCCAGCCTTGGAGGGTCAGGGTGGGGTGGTTCGTTGGAGAAATTGGCTAGGCCTAGACCTCAGAGAAAAGACTAAGCTAGGAAAAGAAGAGATTTGGGGAGCTGAGGAGGAGACAGGTAAGACTGTTCTAGGCAGAAGGGAATAGCAAGTCTAGAGATGGTGGTGGTAACAGGTGAGACTTTTGGCCATTTACTATATCTGCCAGATGCCATTTTAAGCATTTAACATGTGTTAACTCATTTCTTTCCATAACCATCTTGAGGGGTACATACTGTTATAATTCCCATTCTGTAGGTGAGGAAACAAACCCAGAGGGGTTAAGTAAGTTTCTCAAGATTTCTGGGTGGAGCATGAAGCATGAGATGGGTGATGTAGCAAAAGATGAGACTGGCAAGGTGGGCAGAGCAGAGGCCAAGTCATGAAAGGCCCTTATTGCCCACGTTGAAGAGTTTGGACTTCATTTTGGTGAGGGGACCATGATCCTGTATGCATTTTAGAAGGATATCAGTGGCTCTTTGGGGAGTGGATTGGAGGGCTAGAGCACCATGGGCAAAGAGACCAGTTAGGAGGCTTTTGCAGTATTGCAGGCAAGAGGCGATGGTGTTTCCAATGAAGGGTGTATGTGTGTGTGTATAGAAGAGAAGATGGAATTAAGTTGTGAGACACTATCAGAGGTTGTTGGTGTGGAGGGTAAGGAAGAAATCAAGGAAGACTTCTACCTGGTGCAGTTGTATAGATGGGGATGTAGTTTATTGAGGTGAGGACACAGGAGAAGAAGGTGGGGGGAAGATTTCTCATGCAGGGTCTTATTACATCTGCTTTCATTTACCTTCATCCAGTTATTGATCATAGTTCTCCAAGGGGAGGGGAGGGGAAACAGGGGTGAGGGAGAGTATGGCACAGCAAATTTGATAACTATCCCTGGCTAAAATGTTGTAGACACTAGTTTTGGAAAGGAGGAAATAATTAGAACCTAGACATTCCAGACCTTGCACAGCTCTGAAGACTGCTTTTGTTAAAGTCAAGGAAAGCTTATATTTTCTCCAGACAACATTCTTTGTCATTGCTCTCCCCATGTGCTAGTGTCCCTCTGTAATTCACCTCTGCTTACTCTGCTAGGCACTGAGAAAGCAAAGATGAATAAAACATAGCTTGAGAAGCTTGCATTCAAAAGGGCAGCAGATCTCAGCTTAGATACTGTAGTGGAGGGGAGAGAGTGGGGTGGGACAGGATGGGGAGGGACTAAGAAGGATTCTTATTATGGGCAGGA